GAGGGATCAACTTTAAGCCCATATCTTTTTGCTTTAGTTATGGATGCTTTTACTGGACATTTACAAGAGGATTTATTTTGGTGTATGCTTTTTGATATCATGGATAAGACAAGAGAGAAAGCCCTGAAAAAACTTGATTATGAATGTCTACGTTGGAGTTTAAAGGCCTTCGTTTGAGTAGAACTAAAACTGAAAACATGGAATGTAATTTTAGCAATAGTAACTCTAGTGAAAGAATTGTAACTATGGGTGATCAAATTATTAAAAGGTGTGAAAGCTTTAGATATCTCGGGTCTCTTGTTCAAAGTCATGGCGATATAGATGGAGATGTTATTAGTAGAATTCAAGTTGGTTGGTTGAAATGGAGGAATGTTTTCATTTGAGTAAATCTAAAACTGAATATATGGAATGTAATTTTAGCAATAGTAACTCTAGTGAAAGAATTGTAACTATGGGTGATCAAATTATTAAAAAGTGTGAACGCTTTAGATATCTCGGGTCTCTTGTTCAAAGTCATGGTGATATAAATGGGGATGTTATTAGTAAATTTCAAGTTGGTTGGTTGAAATGGAGGAATGCTTTGGACCTATTGTGTGATAGAAAAAAAATCGCTTAGACTGAAAGGAAAATTTTATAAGTTGGTGGTGAGACCTGCAATGCTCTATGACATTGAATGTTGGGCTTTAAAAGAGAAGCATAAAACTAAGTTAAGTGTTGCAGAGATGAGAATGATTAGATGGATGAGTTGCTTTTCACTTACAGACAAAATGTGAAATGAATATATTTGCGATAGGGTTGGTGTAGCTCCAGTGACGGACAAGATTAGAAATAGTTGTCTTAGATGATTTGGTCACATTAAACATCGACTATCTGATGATCTGATTAGGAGAGTGGATGTTTTGCATTCGACTTATGTTAAGAAAGGCAGAGATAGACCTAGAAAGACTTGGGCCTATTGTATAAAAGATGATCTTAATTTATTAGCATTAAAAGAAAATATACTCTCAATAGGACGCAATGGATAAAAAGGATTCATGTAACCGACTTCACTTGATGGGATAAAGGTTTGTTGTTGTTTTATTCATATTTTGGTTGTTTAAATCTACATTAAGCTACCTTCACATACAGAAACCGCAACAAAAAAAACATCTTGGTTTTATATTATCAGTATAATATTCCTTATCTTGCAAACCGTAAACAATGCTTCAAACAACAGCTATCATTGCAGGAGGAAATCAAATAGAATTATTAAAAATACTATTCAGATAAGAAGCAAAAATTTTAATTAATACAAAACTAATAAGCAACTGATCAGAAAAGCCATTGATAAAATTTGCACCGTATCATTATACTAACAAAGGTGGATCTTGTTTTACAAAAAAAAAACTTATCTAATTTAAGATTGAGTTTAATTTATTGAGGCTTTGGCAAGTATTAAGAATAATATATTATGGAATGATTTTACTAGAATGATCTCGGGAATAGCTCTTACTGAAAAAAATATGGTGCTAAAATTTTGAGTGATTTCGGCATGTGTAAGAAAAAATAAAAGATGCACCAAAAGGTAAATACCAATACAGCTAATAGATATAATTGATGCATGATTAGAAAATAGGAGGAAGATGAAATGCAACATAACTATAAGTTATCTAAACATATATATTTTCGCAAAAATCTTATGTAGCACCCAACAAAAATAAAATAGAACAGGATTCATAAGACCCATTTTCAATAGTTGAACAAAAGCAGATGCTACAGCTTTTATTCTGTCATTTTGTTTTCATCATATGATTCCCTGACTTAGTATCAACACGCCCTCACTCACTCTCAGTTTTTCCAATATTGGTCATGCATCTTATGAATTAAAACACAGTTTAAACAACACATAAGGTGTAAAATGGTCATGAGCTTACATATGAAAGCTAAAACAAGCAAATTTAAATGGAAGGACAGTGGCAATTCACCTCATACTAGCAGTCAAAAAAATTATAAAATAAAAAATGCATATTGTCATCATTGAAAACAATAATAAAAGAAACATAAGTTGTCAGTAATCAAGAATGCGTTCCTCCCCAGTCACAACATAGCTAAAGGAGTCCAGTACAGAACTCAAGAAGGTAAACTGAAAAAATAGGATCTCCTGCTTCCAATAATGGATAAGTCCGAACAAAGACGTGATATACATTATACGCATGAAAAAGAAATCTTCCATTTCAGAGTTTCACTGATATTAGGACATTAATATACTAAACAGAGAAGCCAGGCCAGATATAATTCTCATACAGTAATCCTAATGAGCCATGGATTCTGCTTATAGAAAACCAGCTTCCACTCTATACAACAGAAAAAATAAAACAGTTCTGTACAAGTATTGGATGCACATTTTTGCAGCAAATGTACTCGAACAGGGTGAAGTACATAAGTATGAAAATAATTTTAAACGTTTTTTTTTTTTTTTTTTTTTTTTTTTTTTTTTTTTTTTTTTTTGGTGAAAAAACAGGGAAAAACAATTAAAAGCTAGGAAGGAATTGCCACAGAACATAAGATATGCCAAATATTTGTGTACATTTTTATCTAATATTAAAGAAAAATCATATAAGCTCAACAATAATGCAAGCACAATGCAAAAAAAATAAAAAATAAAAAAAGGAGACGCCACAAGCCATACACATTATTAATTATGTACAAAAGAGGGTATCTATAATAAGAAGCACAAAATCAAAAGAGACTTTTATAATGTCAAAGGGGATGCAATTAATCTTTAGTAGAGGAAAAGATTATGAAAAAATAATCTAAAGAAAAATTAAGACTACATAGTGCCTCTAATAAGAAGGAGGAGGCAAAACTCAAAGCTCTTCAGCCTTTCACGTCATCAAAAGCCTAAAGTAGACCTTGTACCAGGAAGCCTACCAATTGATAACAAGCCTGAAAAAAATATTCTCTAACATATGCTAATCCTATTATTATCTCTCCAAGCATAAAAAACTTTATCATGTGAGCATTCTTGCAAATCATTATAGCCTTCATAGTTTTTGTGACAAGACCAATAGCTCCAACATATGCTAATTCTAATATTATCTATCCAAGCATAAAGAACATCGTTCTGAGAACTTCTAAATTTGCAAATTATTATCAGCCTTCCAAGAATTGTGACTCACCCAATAGCGGTAAATAATAACAGATATATTCAAACTGAGTTGCACGTGACAACAAAACCCAAAGATAGAACTTAACTAGGGAAGCTTTCGTACCTAAGAGCCCTCAATAAAATAAATAATAAATCAAAAAAATATTCTTCTCCGCCGGTTACTCATCATAATATAATTTTTCTAAACAAAAAATGCTATCCTTTGAATCCTCTAAATTTACAAATATTTATCATGCTCTTCCTACTACCGTAACTCATCCATGAGTAGCAAACAATAATAGACTTAGTCAAACTAACAAAATTGCGGGAGCGCAGGTTCATGCAATGCAGCAGAAGTTTCTCACAAAGAGAACTTGTATGGTCATTGTTGATTATAGCAATTTAGCACAAATTTTGTGAAGACCATATAGCTTTTAACACTATAATAATTCTTAGAGGTCAAATAGAAATAACGCAGCCCCAAATCTATTATAAAGAACAGCCACAGTAGAAAATTGCAATCATATCAAGGAAATTGACAAAATAGAGATGTGAACTTCCCACTCAAATCTTCGCAGCTGAACACCTCCCTCACAAGGCAAGCATTTGAAGCACAAAATCTATCATCAAAGTGATGCTTATGTATTGAGTACAACATGAATATTTGGAAAAAAAAAATCATTTCATACCACAAAAATTTTTATTAGATCTAATCATTAAACTTGACAGAATCCCTGTCATCACCATTTAAAGTTTGTTAGTAATTAATTTCTAATATATCACAAAGATGATAGTGTTTGAAGAGAAGACTACATCAAAAATTTATTTGATGTAGATAGCCAAATTTAAAGAAACCACAAAGCTAAGCTTTAAGAGCAGAAAGAATAAACGCTTCAAACACTTGGCAAGGATATATGTATACATAAATGAAAATACCACAAAAAATCAAGGTTTGATTCTAATATGTGCATTTGAAGGAAATATTGATGGCATCCTCTATGGTATACATTAGTGCAAACATAGCGAAGGTAGAATTGCTCAAAATATTGGAGTTATTTGATATTGCCTGACTAT